AAAGAAGATTGCTGAGGGTGGCAGAAGAAGCAGATATGTGGTTGTGGGGAGGAAGAAAAGGCAGAGATGCCCAAAGAAGATAGGGCAAGGAAGATTGGGGGGGGGGGACAGCAGCAGAGATTTGACAGGCAGAATGAAAAACGAGATGCAGCAACAAGAGGGGAGGCAGCGATGCCCTGGGCTAGCAGCCTTTTAATGCCTCAGGCACAGTTAGAGTTTGGGCCACCTTGTTTCAGGGTTCAAATGGCAGTCCAGTTGCCTTTTGTACTTGAAAACGAGAATGGGCGCAACTTCTTGACCTTTGCTTCATTTGACAAAATGTCTTCAATAAGGCAGAGGGGAGATGAGGGGTGTGCGGATTTTGGGAGACCGGTGTTTTATTTTGCAGATAAGCAATTAAACCAGGTCCCAAGCCGTGGCAAAAATGATCATATTATTGTGCCTTTGGACAAAATGTCAAACTTTGGAAACTTCTTATCCCATCTCCTCTCTCATAATTTCAGAGGGGAATGGAAGGAGAAAGCTGGGGCCCCTGAGTCTGTCTGTTTGAAAGATCTGTAAACTGTGTTTACTTCTTGACATAGATGACACAGTGATAATTGTAGAGATGAAGCAATGGAATATTAATTAGTGCTATTGTGTAATGATTCCTTTGTTCAAAAAAACCACCAGTTTATGACTGCGGGATATTATTCTTTAGTATCCATGATTCAGAACACCAGGAAATTGCCTGAGGTTGTGGCTGTGTTGCCAGCAGGAAAAAGTGCCAAATAGATATGGAATATTCGTATTCATCTCCTGGGGGAGATGAATATGAATATCACTACTACAGGTGTCCGGGCCCATTCGGCCCTCCTGCTCAGTACCGGGCTGTTCACTTACCACTTGCAGTGTGGCGTGTGTAGCCATTCTCATTCAAGATGCACCAATCACAGAAGTAGCCCAGCTGGGGCTTTCCTTGCCTTCCTCCATTTGCTGACCACTCTGGGAAAGGAGGTGGGATGACAAGTCTCCCTACTGAGCTGCTGAATGGTCAGCAAGAGAAAATCCCATAAGCTGACTCCTTTTTAAATAAGTTAACCACTTTGCACCCAAGCAAAAACATTTGTTGGGGCTGTTTCTTCACAAGTGTGAAGACCATCTTGATTGCTGCCATTAGTATTGCCAACATTCATGCTGCCCTTTGCTCTGTAAAGCTTGGTATCCTCTTCCATGCTGGCAATTCAGGCGTGGTATTGTGCAGCAATATGGAGCCATTTCCTGGTGTTTTGAATCATGGTTGCAGAAGCACACTATCGCATATTCATAAACCAGAGGTGTGTGTGCTTTGTTGTTGTTTTTTTGGAAGAATTGAATTTCCTGGCTTCTTAAGACAGAAGTTTCAGTATACATACACTACACACAAATTCCAACAGAAACTTCCCTCATGTAAAATCACCCAGTGCTAGAGGATCCCAGAATATGAACACACAGTCTGCACTACGGTTGTTGGGGGAGGACAGAAGCAAGAGCAGCTGGTGTATGCCTGTAGTCCCTCTGTGCCGAAATATTTTGAAGGGATGTTTTTGGACTTCATTAAATGAGTACGTGTGACACATTCCGTTGAGAAACATACACATCCTTTACCCCACAAGGTTAACATGTTATCATGCCTGCTCTGCGGAATGTCGACAAGAAAGCTATGTTCCAGTTTCCAAATCCTTTTTGTGGAGCTTTCTGAGGAAGAAAAGCTATTCAGGACCAAAAGCTCTGTGAACATATTGTATGCATGCTTTCCAAAACATGCCCCCTTGGCTTTTGGAATAATGAAAAGGGAGAGCTGGAAGTTAGTTGTCACTGGAAACTAATGTCAAAATCATCCATGTTACGTGAAAGAAAGATAATGAAGAAAGACAGGGACAAAAATCAACCCATTTGAAATGTGGTGTTGGATGAGCACCTTTCAGATACTACAAATAACCGGAATGGCAGAAAAATAAGTGTTCAATCAGGTTCAAGCCTGAACTCTCGTTGTTGTTGTTGTTTTAATTATCAGAGTGAGAAGATGAGTGGAATAGTTGAAACTGTGACGAAATATAGGCACCAAAGCTCTGCTAATGTCGAGTAAGACCATCCCTAGCTGCAAAGCAAAAAACAGTCTTTTCCCAGCTTCAATGAGAGAACTTCTGAATATTTGGTCTTTATTCTTTTTTGAATATGTTTTAAAATATTTTTTGCAATCAGACACACAAACCCTGAGTCCAGACGGACAGAGTCAAAAGGTCAAATTGCTCCAGGCTTGGAATTGATTTCCCTTTGACAATTTGTTTCAGGATCCTAGTCTCAGGAATCTTGAAAGAATATTTACTGAAAGCACTAAGGGTTGGGACAAACACAACTGCTCTGTGATTTTACAGTGCAGGAAGACTTTGAGTATGCATTACAAAATTGTATGCTAATTCCCTGGAGATACATGGCAAAATGAAGTATTCTCACTCTGACTTTTTTTAAAGCATACCTTTTTTTAACTCTTCCAGAAACATCTGTCTTTAAAGTGTTTATGTGACCTTTCATTGCCCTCCAGACATCTTCCTTCCCAGCTCACAAAGCTGCAACATTGCATCTACTTTGGAATGCTCTTGCTGATAAGCCTGTTCCACACATGCTCTGTCTTATTGTTTTTTCCATTTTGAAAGGCCTTTTTGAAGATCGATGTTTCACCCCTACAGTTTGGATCCTTTCCAAAAAAAAAAAAAAAAAAAAAAAAAAAAAAAAAGAAAGAAAAAGAAAAAGGGATGAGCCAACCATTTTCTTTCAAGTTAAGCAATGTTGGTATATTCAGTTTATATGAACTATTTTAAATTTGGGCATATTTAGGATCACCTATTTATACATGGGGTGGGAACAATTTTACTTTTTTAAAAAATCATAACTTGAAACTCTTTCCCAAAATTTCCTTAAATTTTTCATACTGCAGGAGCAGATTCTCTGCAGTATCTGTGCCAGATTTGGTACTGGTCTGAACCCCAGATTCAAAGTTATAATGTTTTGTTTGGTTGCCTCCATTTTTAGAATCGCCTTGTGGAATGTTGATGTGCTGTGCTGCACAACAACATAGCTGCACTCTTGTGCAGCCATAATTCCAAAAGCATTGGTTTCATACTTGATAGCCAAGGGCCACCAATGTTTATGTTTCCTCTGTCTTTTTGACACTGAGAAATTAAATGAATCTACAGCTAATATGGATACATAAAGGTCAGTTTGCATATGGATGAATAAATAATCCAAGGACCCTTAAGCCTTTAATATCCTCCTGTGTTTGCCTTGAGTAAACTATAATGACACAACTTATGAGGTAATTTTCTTATTAAATGCCAGCAACCACCATTCAGAATCATCAGTCTCTCTCCTCCTCCTCTCTGTCTCTTTTATTATTGTGCAGAAACATGAAAGAGAAAGTTTCTGCTAAAGGATATTCAAATTTTAATATGATTCATATCTCTAGAAGACACTGTTACTACAGGAAAACTGTGACAGATAGTTATATACTATACTTATTGATCATTCCACACAGGTGTTTGCATGTGTTTAATATCAAGCTTAGTTACCATATTAATATAGTACTTGTTTAATTCTTTTTAAATATTTATACACTTACTGTTTTTAATTTTTTAAAACTGTTCTAATGGCGTAAGCTGCCTTCCATCCTTTTGGGGAGAAAGGTGGGATATGAATGAATGAATGAATGAATGAATGAATGAATGAATGAATGAATGAATGAATGAATCAATGAATCAATCAATCAATCAATCAATGTTGCTGTGTGGGAGTGGGCCCTGAAAAGACAGAGCACCACTTGGCACCCAGTAAGTGTGAGGAGTGGATGTCAAGAAGGGTGAGCTGCCAACCTGTCAGTTGAGTGTGATGGAGGAAAGTGCTATGAAATGCTAGGAGTCCTAGGGTCAATCTGTACGGCACAGATAATCCATCATAAAAAGAGAGAATTCCTTATACTGTATGTTGAAAGCATCTGATTGTCAAACCAAACACTTTTAATACCTCCTATAGTTTGCAGATGAGCTTGCTTGGCTTTGTGATTGATCATCTGGAGGTAAGCATAAGCTAGGTAACTTAATAGGAACATAACCTGATAGAATTCATGTTTATAACAAAGCAACAAGGTGCATACTGTGGAAAAACAAGTTAAGATGTAATTTGTTTAAGGCAAAAATGCAGGAGTATGCATGGTTATAAATAAGGCACAGTGTGGTGATACTAATTCCTTGGGTTACATGAGAACGGATAGACTGTAGATCTATGATTGCTTTTTTCTGGAAAGTTCTTGGTGAGTTAGCAAATGGGAAGCTGGAATGTGACTCCTAGCACCATACTTTATGATCTAGCAGGCATGTGAAATGTTTGGATTATTAGAGATTAAGCAGGTATACTGCTTATGTATGGTTGCCATAGAATATGTCTACAAGTGAATTCATAGAAATAATTGAGGATAGTGGTATTCTAGTTTATTCAATGTATTTTTGAAGTCATATTTATATTCCATCTTTCTTTCAGTGATGGGGCAAAAATGGTCTAGTATATAGCCATAAAAGAATACTTCTTCCCATCAAATGCAATAGCATTGCACAAACAGACACCAAAGGAATGGGAGAAGTGTACAAAATGCATGGTGTTGCCAAAAATTCTTGGTTATAATGTATGGCATAGAATTGTAACTTCAGCTAGGAAAAACGATTAAAGTTCCTAGACAGAGAGGTGACCACTGAAGAGGTACTAACTGAGGAAGATGAAAACTAAGAATTCATAATCAATGAAACATTCATGAAACAAAACAAAAACAAAACACAACTCCAAACGATGATGCTATGTTGCATCCAAATCAGCCTCCCCGGTTTGTCAGCCAGCGGGTTCTTCTCCTGCCTGCATTTCTTTCCCCATTAATTTTACCCGGAATGATCAGCCATAACAATCTGTACTTTTTCTATTTTGTTCTGTGACTGAAGCAGTTTAGGAGAAGAACTCACTGGGTGACCAACCAGGAAGACTGATCTGGATGTAACACAGCATCATCGTTTGGAGTTTTGTTTCCCCCCCACAAAGCCAGAAAAAAAGAAAAAAGAACAAAAGAAAATTCAGTGTTTGAATTTGGGGCTGATGAAAATAAAAAGAATCCTATTTCATTTTATGGCAGGTTGTTGAGCTGTTCTTTGATTCCCACCCACCTTACCTTTCCTCGGCAAATATAACAATATCATTGTGCTTGAGGAATGAATATTATATGTGACATAAAGTTTAGTGAGTTTTCTTCCCCCCCACACATACTTTTTTGAGGAATCTTGATAATAGTAATGGATCTTTTCTTTTTACAGATAGCCCAGAGATATGATATATATCTCATGTGCTTAAGTCCCAGCCCTGCAAGTGTAATTCATAATTTTTAACTCTAGCTCTAGAACAAAAAGCAAAATAATTCATACATGTTGAGCATTCTGTTGTGATGAGGGCAGACAGGTTTTTATTTGTAAAATGCATTTGGGTGGCATATAAGCAATTGAAAATGAAGCAAAAATATATTCTAACTAAAGATGTAAATGTACTTGTAGGATCTCCAATTTGTTCTAATTTGCCTTTAAACTAGATATGCAAAAATTTCATCCAGACTATCAGCAACTTGCACTGCGAGAGTCTTTCATTCCTGCTATGTCCCTAAAAGCAACAATGATTGCACTTCAGGCACCCTTAGAAGCCTCCCTATCAAGTTGAAAGCTCATCCCAGCGTGATACTATCTGTGACTTCATGTGTCACGAGAAGTGCTCTTTGAATAGGTTATGATTGCATCTCCATATTGCGTCTTTCTTTCAGCTGCCTGTTTCTTGAATGGAACTTGAATTATTCACTCATGCATTTATAATTTAATTTATCTCCCATAAAATGAAGTGCTGAGCAGTTGTATTATGCAAAAGTGATACCACTTTCTTAGAAGTTGTATAATCTTTTTCTTCTTCCTGTTTGTTTCAAGTTGTGTCCTTCCAAGAAAAGGAAAGTGTTATGTTTCCATTTTGACTGATCGCAATCACTGGTCTTCTTCTGGCATCCCCAAAGGAAATGGAAATTTATTTTTAGCTCGAGACAATTGCTACAATAATACTTTAGATACAAGTAGAGGCTATTTGTGCCTGAGGGCCATCCGAAAGCATGTGCATGCCCCCTGACAAAAATTGCTCTGACTTGTAAGGCAAATCTTTAACTTGCAATGCAATATTCTTTGGTTCTCTGCAGGAGCCTCGTATTTGGTGCAGTGGAATACTTATCCATTCATTGGGATAATGATTATAATTCATGAAAGACTAGCACCCACATTGTAGTGCTAGGTTATGTGTTGTCAAATCACATCTGACTTGCAGTGACCCTGATTCGAGATATATGCAATATTTAAGGAATGGTTTTACCATTTTTGTGACTGAACAAGGATTTGAACCCAGAGCTTATCTATCGCTCTGTGCACCACACCACAGTGGACAAACATGGAGCTTTACAGAGAATGAAAAGGTAGGTTCCTAGATTTCCTACAGTCTGACCTTCCTCCAATTTGGAGAAGCATTCTGAGCTCATGTTGTTTGTAGCCTACCTTTGATTTAATGACCCACCAAACTAATTGGAAATCAGCCAGAATATACATTATCAGGTGTATCCACATTATGTTATGTACCATCAGGTCACTTCTAGTTTATGGGGACCTTAATAGTGTTTTCAATGTATGTGAAACATTTCTGCCTCCAGAGTGTTTTCATGGCTGAGAAGAGATTTGAGCCCAGGTTTCATGAATTATAATCAACTATGCCTTGTACCACACTGGCTCTCCACATCCACCTCGTGTATTGGGTCCAGATATTCTTGGATTAAAACTCCCAGGGGCCTTCACTACTAGGTGTGCTGGGCAGGACTTCAGAGAGTCACAGTCTGAGAACATTTGGGGGACCATGGTTGGGAAGTACTGTCCTAGTGTCATGTAACTGTTTAACCAACAGTGCCTTGGTTTATCTTGAACATAGATTAAAATGTGCAGTGGTGTTAGCAAAATAGTAGTCTTCCAGCTCCTTTTAATTCCACGTGATAATGCTTGGATTAATTAATGGTTTTGTTTGCCTAGTGTCATTTCCCCCCAGCGGGTTAATTGAAGTTTCATGGATTTGACGAATGATCTTTACTTATAGGAAGGAAAACTTTTGCATGGCTTTATTGTAAGTTGCTAACAATAGCTCAGCTTTTTTAGTTTATTTAAAGCATAATGCTGATAAGTGTTGCATTGCTGATCTATAAAGAATTGTTTGTGTTCTTTAGAAGTTTTGTTGCCACCTGTTTAAATGAAACCTGGTTGTCATTTGCAGATCGGGGGAAAAAAACCGTGTTAAGTAGAGAATAAGCATGAGTGGCACACAGAATAGGAATAAGCTGTTTAATTAATGCTCTAGCTAATATTGTTACAAAGAAATGCTTTGGGGCTGACAGATTCAGACTGCAAAGTACAGATGTAAAAAAACCAGCTCATTTGCATTTCAAAGAGCTGCACTAGCACCTGTGCTGTGCTATGCTATGATGGCGTATCATCAAGATATTGCAGATTGGCCCGGTAAATTTATCCCCTGAGTTTGCACTATGTAAACAACTAGTGCAAAGGCACAGCAGGAAAACATCCAGTGGTTGGTTTTGAAGGTCAAGTTGCAAAATCCAGAGGAAACATCCCGCCTATTCCCAGTAGGTTTCAGTTTCACTGTGCCTCTTTAACAGGGGCTGGACTTGATGGTCCATTGGGTCTCTTCCACCTTTGCAGCTCTAAGATGTGATGAATGGTCACTATTGGCACAGGAGGCTGACAATAGGAATGTGTGCCGGGCCAATCTGGAAGGAAGGGACAGAAGACATAGATATCCCAGTCACTCTATGAAAAATACTCATAATGTAGAAACTATTGATGTCTCTAGAATCGGATCTGCTGGATTGGTCAAGTCACCATAGAAAAACAGGGCTGGGTGGCGTGAGAAGGTAGGGAACCAACACGGTGAACTCACGGTTTGAAGAGGACATGGAAGCTGCACTAAACGAGGGATGTCAGGGGAAGGGCAAGAGAGGCACTTGCCTCCCACCTGGAATGCTAGGGTTTGCATTTTTCTAAATGTATACAGGTAAAAACAGTAGTCAGGTCAGCACCTATTATCATTAATATTCACCCCATATATATATATATGATATATGATATAGCACTGTATCAGATAGCAAGAATTAATAAATAAATAAAAATAAAAGCACTCTAGTCCATTTTCTAAAAAAGCCAGCTGAGCATACCTTTCAGCCCTCATATCTTCCTCTCCAGCTGGCCTGTAGCTCAACCAACCTCTTCTCCTTGCCCCTGCCAAATCCTTCCTTCCTTTCCCCCATAGCCACCTGCCTCCATGCTTTCCCCCTGCCCCCTCTTTCTCTTTCCACCCCTTTCTCTCTTGGCCTCCTACCCCTCGCTCTCCTCTCTCCCTGCTGCCCCCTGTCCAGGCTATGCAGAGCTGCCTGCACTGCTGCCACCCTCACGGCTGCCCTCCCACCAGCCCGCACGTCCTCCACCTCCTCCGCCACCTGTATTGCTGCCACCTGCACCACTGCCCAGGACAACGCCTCTGGCTGTCGAAATAAGGTCAGTCATGGGCGGCAGAGATGTGATGCAGCAAGGCAGTGCAGACAAAGGTGAGGCTGCACATAGCGATACAGATGTTTTGGATTGGTGCTAAAGTCCACGTGCCTTTATCCCGAATCGAAATGAAACAATCCCTCCCCCAGTTTATTCTGGCAGTGGGACCAGGCCCAAACCTGATAAAAGGGGCATTGCTGCTGGTGTACTCATGCAAGTTGCCCCTCAATGCCTGTTCAAAAAGTTCTTATATGAGACACTCCACATTAAGGAGTATTCTGAATATTTCTGGCAGTTCGATGGGAGCAGCTGCTGGGAGGAAAACTCCACCTCTCTCTTCCAGCATTCCTGGGAATGGTGTCTGTGTTCCCCTGTATAAATTGCAGCCACACCCTCTGTAACCATCCACTGAACAACATCCACCCTTCATCTCTTGCTTTCATCTGATTGAGGAAGGCTCTCTTTAGTGACTTGCTTGCAAAATATATGTTATAACCAATCTGCTATTCCTAGCTTTCCTTTTTTCCCTACAACTTCAGGCCATACGCAGCCCTAAATATTAATGCAACTGTCACCAGCAATTTTTACATGATTTTATCCCAAAATAGGTTTACTCTCATTTTACAACCCCCCATGTTTTCCTCAGGCTTTTTTGGGCAGTACAGGTGGCTCTGGGTTACAAAACATGCCTTTTCAGTTTTTCTTTTTGATTCTACTCCGCTCCCCATCTGGACATGCATATTCATGTTTCCATGACACTCCAGGGTGGGCGGGAACAGTTCACTAACACAGTACATGTCTCTACCTCATCACAGAGGTTCCAGACTTTTCTCCAGTATTAAAAACACGGATATCCGGATTCTGAGTCAAAGGCTTTTGCATAGTCAATAAAAGAAAAGTAGATGTTTTTCTGGAACTCTCTGGCTTTCTCCATAATCCAGCGCATGTTGGCAATTTGGTCTCGAGTTCCTCTGCCCCTTTGGAATCCCGCTTGTACTTCTGCCACCTGCCTCCATGCATAGCCACCTGCATAGCCACCTGCCTCCATGCTTTTCCCCTGCCCCCTCTTTTCTTTCCACCCCTTTCTCTCTTGTCCTCCTACCCCTCGCTCTCCTCTCTCCCTGCTGCCCCTGTCCAGGCTATGCAGAGCTGCCTGCACTGCTGCCACCCTCACGGCCGCCCTCCCACCAGCCTGCACATCCTCCACCTCCTCTGCCACCTATATTGCTGCCACCTGCACCATTGCCCAGGACAACACCTCTGGCTGTCGAAATAAGGTCAGTCATGGGCGGCAGAGATGTGATGCAGCAAGGCAGTGCAGACAAAGGTGAGGCTGCACATAGCGATACAGATGTTTTGGATTGGTGCTAAAGTCCACGTGCCTTTATCCCGAATCGAAATGAAACAATCCCTCCCCCAGTTTATTCTGGCAGTGGGACCAGGCCCAAACCTGATAAAAGGGGCATTGCTGCTGGTGTACTCATGCAAGTTGCCCCTCAATGCCTGTTCAAAAAACTCTTATTTGAGACCCTC